AAGTGCAGGAAAAGTATTAAGAATCATAATATTTGTTTGGCCCCATCTTTGACCAATAGTATTTCACAAAACATTTGTAAACATATTAATAATAATAGTAAAAATAATTTAGACCCTTTAAAAAAAGCTGGTGTGGTTTATAGAATTGAATGTGACTGTCATAATCCGTGTGTATATATAGGAGAAACCGGGCGTGTACTAGAAACTAGAGTTAAAGAACACGAAGCGGCCATTCGGCTTAAGTATAATAATTCTCCGTGGTTTAACCACATCAATAGTAATAATTGTAATATTAATAGAAACAATGTAAAAATTTTACATATTGAAAAAGATATTTATAAAAGAAAATTCAAAGAACATATAGAAATTAGAAAACAAAATAATAATAATTTAATAAATCAGTCGAAAGGGATGGAAATAAATTATAGCTGGTACAATCTAATAGATGGCGCTAGAATAAAATAAAAAATAAATGGTTATGTATTAAGACGTCATCACTTGATTACCGTTGTAAAGTGTTGGTGGTCTACTGTGTGACTTTGTAAAGTGTTGATGGTATGAAGTTAAAAATTTGTAGTGCTTTGGAATTATTTTTACAATTGTTTGTCAATGAATTTTTAATAATTAGTTGGTTTTGGTATGTTTATTATACACGTATGTGGAAAAAATTTTTTTAAACTTGTAAGTATAAGTATTGTTTAATATATTATTTGTATTAGCCTTATATTGTTTTATACAAAAAAAGATAATTGTAATTTTAGGATTCTTACAAATGTGTACAAAGTTTACCACCCCTACCCATGGAAATATCATTGTAATTACCACCAGCGGTTATTGTAAGTTTTTCTCCAAAATTTATAATTTTGGTGTAGATATACATCTATGTCGTGTTTTAGTTAAACATTTTACGTTCTTTGTTATTATTTTAGCACTGAAGAGGGACTGGAAAATATTAGACCAGCCCGAAATGCATTTGATGTAGTCTTTACAAAATAAATTTAATTTGCCAATAAGATTGCTGTGAGATTTGTCTACCAAGAATATTTTTGGATTACAGAGACTAAAATCGTCATATTAACTATTATACAGCAAACCATTTATATATATTCTTTTATCGAATTTCTCAAATAATTTTTAAGTCTTTTTAATGTAGAGAAAGATCTTTCACCACTAGCATTACTTATTAACATCGTAAGATATATTCTTAGAAGAATATGCATATTGGAAAAGGTTGATATATTTTATTATAAATAATAATAGAAAAGAATCCCCAAGAAATGTTATTATATGTGGCTATTTTTTAAAATAGCATTAAACTGAAGCCACTTGTCACAAATTTCATGAATGTAAATATCTGTTTTATACATGTTATTTATTATCTCAAAAGAATCTGCACTAACATGTATAAAACAGATATGCATCTGTTTCAGTAAATAAAAAATGTTGTTAATAGATGCATATGCTGTTTTTCTTCTAGTCAACTCGTTGATTAAAGAATCACATATTACATAAAAAGTAATTTTTTGAAATTATCCTTGGCAGAAAATTGAATATCATCAAATTGGCGCTTTCGTTTACGGTTTCTCTGAAAATCAGTCGAATAAATTGCATCTGTAAAATTGCCACATAATTCTTTAGCTTGTTCTTCAATAGAATCAAAATCGTTTCTTAATTCCTGAACAAATCCTATAAGACTTTCATATAAAGTGCAAGCTACATTTAAATTACCAGATATTTCTTGCAACATTAATCCTGTTTAATATTTTGTTCCACAACACAGTCATTAAACAAAATTCAAAACTTTTTGTATCATATAAATCTCTTGCTTCTACTTGGGTTAATTTTTGAAGTGCTGATTTAATTTCATTGAATCCATTGGTAATGGCTCTAATAACATCCACTCTTGCTGACCACCTAGTGTCACTAATACGTTTTCCAAGAGAACAATAAATTGCTTACTATTAAACATTTTTTACTAAATTCCATCGGTATGTCAACGCAGCAAAAAAAGTGTAAATATTTTGAATAGTACTGAAATATCTAACTGCCAATGGGTAACAATCTGCAGCAAAATTATCTACAAGATTTAAAGAATGACTGCTGCATGGAACGTGACGAACACTTTCGCTGTAACTTTTTATGTTGACTTTTAAACTATCCAAATAACTTACAACTGATTCCTCTAAACAGTCAGCAGTATGCGAAAAAATATTGAATAAAATTTAAAAATTGCTCAACAGTGCTACCATATCTAACTATTATTGTTGTCTGAACAGCGTGACTTGCATCAGGCATTGAATCTAATATTAAAGAATAATATTTTGCTTCTTTTAGTTCATCTAAAAATAGTGCTCTTTAATTTCTCCGCCATAATTTTAACAAATTCGTCACGCATTATTGGGGACAAATAGTTGACATGCCCAGAACCGGGGTTTTTATATTTTTCAAATGGCTTGCTAAGAAAGGATCAAACTCACTAAGGTACTGTAGTACACTTAAATAGTTTCCATTGTTCAACTGAAATAATTTAGTTGTTGAGCCATGAAATGCCAAGCCATTTTTAGACAAAAAAATTATTGTTGAGACGATCCTTTTTAATACTTCTCTCCAATAAAGTTTTTCCGTATTCCATTGGTTGTTGATTTCTACATCAATTCAACCCTTCAAATTTGATCTAGCAATAAATGTACCTATACAAGTTCTACGGTCAATTGAATTTTCATGATCTTTTAAGCAGGATTTTGACACTTGCAAAAACATACATAGCAATATACAGACTTATTTTTTCTGCTGTAAATAAGCCATTCTCCATTACCTTGTACTTGAAATTCTTTTTTTGCCTCATGTATAAATTCAATATTCTTCATCTCCAGCGTTAAAACTTCTGGCCATTCACCAATATCATTTGAAAATGATTCATAAGTTTTACATAATAATTGTACACTGTGATCATAATTTTCTTGGGTTTTCAAAAGATTTCCATGTTCTTCAATGGCATCATCTTCATTTTTTTGTTTCTTGATCTTGTGTTTTTTAAAAATAAAAATGGCATTAAAGCATTATATTGCTCTTTACTTTCTCTTTTACGGTCAACTTGTATCATAATATCAAAAACTTATAAACACAGAAATGTAGCCCTTTGAAAACTGACTAAAGTGCAACAATAATCAAAAAAATTATATAAGTTGAATTATACCAGTTTTCACAGGACAGATATAATGTTAAATAGAAACATGCACTTCAAAGAAAGAAAACTATAACTGCAAAAATAGGTTATAATATATCCAATCCACCTAGTGCCATCTCATCATAACATTTTTGTAGAACAAATTGCATATTTTTATAACTAAATTAACAATATATCACATTTGAATATCTTACTTACATTATATTTTTCTCAATGACCACTGCATTATTCTGAACTTTACCGAACAGATCTAATGCACATATACAAACTTCTCAGCAATGATGTTAGATGTTGGGGCAGTATGTAACGTCATAATTAATTATTAACCCTTAAATATGTCATGCTAATAATATAGTAATTCACTATTATAATAATAAAAAAGGCACATTTAGAACCTATTACAGGCCCCAGGCAAGTGCTTGCCAGCCCTGTTCCTACTATTCCATGGAAGTATATGGCATATTTTTCACACAAAAACTTCAAATGTGTAAATAAAATGAATTACTTCTAGAGCCTGTTGGTAAACTGCATGCCTTGGCAGCCAGAATACTTTTTTTTCAAACATCACTAATAGAATCTGTAAATAAAAAAACATATGTAGAAAGTTATCAATTTAACTAATCAAAAGCTGCCAAATGTTAATTTTTTTATTTAATACATAGTTTTAACATTTGCACATCTTTAATTATTGGAATATAAAATTATATTATAAGGGTAAAGATCACCAATTTTGTGGAAAATTGAAGTTACAAGGAAAGACAACCAAATAACTACCCAACTTTTTAACTATTAAACCTGTATGAAATTTTAATCTATTGGATTTATACAGTATAGAAAATAGAACAAATTTTAAGCGTTTTTGAGGAAAAAACATAAATCTAATGGATTAATTGGAAATTTTTGATTATTATGTATAGGTTTAAAGTAGCTAAAATTCAAGTAATTAGTTTGTTGGCTCTCCTTGATAGTTATAATTTAAAATTATATAATTTAATAGACTTATGTTTATTTGGAAAACAGCCGTTCTTCCCGGTCCTCCCTATAATGTGGTGACAAAGCAAATTTCACGTACTTCGCTTCGTATAACCTGGGAGAAACCCTTAAAAAATCCCCAGATGGTCCAGTGGTACAGAGTATTTTGGCGACCGGTGGGAACCAGGAACACTTTTCGTGTAAGTTTTAATTAAACAAGTTTGATAAAGGAAGAGATGATGTAATCAGAAAGTTTCTATTTTACAGAATCAGACAAAAAAGAATCTATTTACCTTAAAGAACTTGAAACCGGAAACAACTTACGAAGTAGCTTTGAAAGCTGGAAATCGGTACGGATTGAGCACTCATACAAAACCTATAGTTTTCACAATGCGCAGTAAGTAAACTTTTTAAAATTTTATTATTAGACATTATCTAGCTATAATTATCTGAGAATTAAGTATTTAAAACACATTCTTTACTCTGAAAATTTCAATAAAATATGTCATTATCCCAAATATTTAGAGCCTTTGAAACTTGATTTTCCTAGAGATGAATTTAAATTATTAAAAACAGCTCTAACAGCAGCATTAGTTAGAAAAATAACATTCAAAATTTAAAAGTATTTGGGATGATGACATGTTCATTTCTGACTTCAATAAAATAATTTCTTTGTGGATTAGTGAAAAGTTGAAGAGATTTATAACAACAGTTTCTGCATTAATACAGTTATTTATTATTTATTTACTTTTGTATTCTACTATATTAAAAATACTTTTATTTTAGATTCTAAATATATCAAAGAAAGACTTGTTGGTAAGTTTTAGTCAGAAATGAAACTTTATTTAGAATATTTTATTAATAAAGTTTGGCATAATATTCAATCTCTCACCTCAGACGGAAATGGATCTACACTGAAAATTGCAATCGGAGCAATCGTCGGTGTTTTGTTGCTGGTGTTGTCTGGAGCAGTCGCAGTCTATTTATATATAAAATTTCATGGAAAACCGAGAACGCCGGCGACAGTATCGTTTGAAAATCCGACGTATATGAAAGAAACGATACCAAATGTAATTCGTTTTTAAACTAATTTCTAGTTTTTATCATTACTTTTTGCTAAATCAAATGTGATTTTTATTTTAGAATTCGCAACCTTCGACGGAACGAAATGGCATCTCGACAGGAAACGTGGGATAGTGCTAATTTCTCCTCAAAGTGATTCATTTATATCTAAAAGAAACAAATTTATTGTTAATAGGTGATGTATACAGATAGAAAAAAAGATATACATAAAGAATAAAATACCTGCTGAGTAGGTTTTAGGACATCCATTGATTGGATCCTTAGTGTTGAGTTCCAAAAAGGATTTTTATCCATGCAAATATCAAGCATTTAAAACAAAAACTCTAATTCATCCTGAATATTCATATGCAATACTTTTTCACAAATCTTGTGTTAAAATCGTTAACTGTAAAGAGTTCATCAATTAAATTTTTTTATTACTTAATTAGGCATGAATCATCGTTTCTTTTTTAACACACAATGTCTCTGTTTGTAGTAGACATCATTAAACACGAAGACTCGTCGGTTCTGCTCAAATAGTGTTTATGTATCTGTGAAATATGTGCGCTGACGATCTTATTCTGTAGATAGTAGAAAATGCAACAAATTATTTAGGTTAGTTCACAAAATATATCTAACAGGATGCTTCAAAAACTTTATGAATTGATTCGAGTTATAGAGCCATTGTTGGTTATTAGTTTTCTAGATGGGTGCTGGATAGCAAACCTTTTGATGTATTTCTATTAAATAATCTTGTGAAATTAAATGGGAATAGATCTCAAAGAAAACATAATGTTATGTTCCCTATATATATTAATGTGCATAGAATTACTTGGCTTTTTAACATTTAAAATATGTTCATTTTGTGATGTATACTAGTCAAAAATTTTTAATTTCTTCTAAATTGAAGCATGCATAGAAATGATTTTTTTTATTTTTAAAATGTAAATATTTACTGAATAAAAATTATTTCTTATTACTAATAAATCTAGATGAATTACAAATTAATATATTTTTGCATACACTAAAATCTGCAGTTTATATCTACATCAATATCAAATGAAGCCAACACTATTAAAAGCTTTGTTAACCTTTATTGCATTTAAAACGTGCCAACGGAAGCACTTCTTATTCAATTTGCATATATACAAATGGTCTAACCGTTTTAAAATTTTTGAAATCAATCGATAAATTTGTTCTTTTAAATTTTTAAAACTCGGTCAACAAAACTGACCCAAAGACAATTATAAATATACCAAATTTTAGTTAAACTCTCTGACATTTTTCACAAATATTTTACAATAAATCAAATTTAAATCTCTCAAAATATACATAAAGCAAGCAATTTTAAAAAAGCTATTCAATAATCATATTTACAAAACTCCTTTTTTTGTTTATATAAACAAATTACTGGAATTTTTTCTGTATCTTTTCAATTTCGCAGTCCGTGCTCGTGAATTCAATAGCACACACCCGAGGAAACCAACCTCGAAGTTTTGGCGACGACTCTGAAATGTCAAATTTGTTATATTTTGTTTATATTTTTGCAAATAGAAAATATTGAATTTGATTACCTGTAAGTGGTATCTTCTCTCCATACAGCCAATGCCTGAAATGTAATGTTTTCTTTAATAACAAGGTCAGTTAATCTAGTCTCGATGTAAACAAAAGATTAATTAAACAATAAAAAAAATCAGAGAGTGTATTTAACTAAACAAAAATCATACTTTCTCCATCTTGTAACCGAAACTTGATCTCCTATTTCCAAAGGTATTCGCGGCTCGTCGCTATATGGAATTGAACAGCATGTTCTTATTCCTTTACTTATGGGAAACCATGTACCTTTATATGGCTGTACGACCGTATATTGCCTTGTGCGAGCTCTTTTATCCTCTTTTTGATACAACTGTTCCACCTAAACATATACATTTTCTTTATTTTAAAAATAAATCATTCCCAAAGATAATTAGATAAAAAGCTTAATAACAAAGTACAAAAAATTTTAAATTATATTAAAATATACTTGATAAAACATTTTTAATATACAGTGGGTGATCGGTTAACTAACATATTCCATTCAAAGATAATGTTCTCTACCAAATTGTTTGTTAACCAATTATAAATTTACCATAGATTTTTATGAGAATTTGATTAATTTGTTCTGCAGACCCCAAAAAAAATATATAATTTCTTACTACATTTATTTACATGTAATAACAAACTAAAAGCAATTGCTACATTTTTTTCATGGATGGCAATCTTTGTATTTCAGATGTGATTTTCATTACTCCTTTATCTGCTTGAATCTTTGATTATATCTTTCTTAGCTAAGATTGTATCTACTGTAAACCTGTTGAAGCCATACTGCGTAGGAACATCAGACATCTTCTGCCCACTATCTACTTTGGCTATTATCTCCTGCTTAATTTATGTAGTGAACACAGTTCTTGACACTCCACTCTTTTTAGGCTCCATAATATTATCAGTTGTTTTAAAATAAAAAGTTCATAAAAGCACTTACAAAAATTCAGTGAATAGATATCAACTAATGGAAAAAAAAGATTATGTATACAACGTGAAAGTCTCGTTCCATAAACCATGTATAGATGCCATTAAAATAGTTTTAAAAATCTTAAACATAGCGTCGCTTTTTGTGTTTGTTCTGTGAAGTGTTCGTTATCCAAACATGTGTTTGTTGTCCAAACATAAAAATATTTCACAAAAGTCTTCGTTGTCCAATTTGTTTGCAGCCCAAACTGTTCATTAACCAATCACCCACTGTACACATAATAAAATCTAGATATTCAGTTTGCATATAGAATTATTAATAAATAAAATTTGATTAATGTCTAAACAAAATCTGAATTTGTATAAATATATAGACTATTCAAAATATCTTATATA